GTGGATTTGTTTCTCTAATGTACCCAGACTAACACACATGCTCATCTCAGCTCCTCTTGGTGGTCCACCTGGAGCTGGGAGAAGAGAGAGCGAGCGCCTTTCCTCCCTATCTTGGGACATTTATAGGTCGCCGTAAGACATGCATGTTCAGTAATTACAAGCATCACAAGGTGGGTGGTATCTACAATAAGGTCCCTAAGCTCATAGGTGAGGAAACCTAATACCTGCATTGGGGGAAGGTATGAGGGGGGTTGGGTGACATCATGGGAAGAGAGAAAAGGGTGTCTGCTTCTATAGGGAGATAGACTCAATCATATGCTCACTTTAAGGCAGCATAGCTGTTAGGGGAGAATCTGTGGGAATGATATTTAAAGCAAGATCACGTACTTGGACTTTACCTCTAACTTCCCAACGTGGAGGCTTTCCTACTGTTGAATACCAGCTTTCCAGATTCCCTCTCTTATAAACTAGGAAATAGAGACTTCGTCTATTTCCCTCAGTGTTAGTTTTACACAATTTGGACTCACAGGGTGGGAGAGAAGAGAACTTCCCTATGGGATATCCCAGGCTGTAATCTTTAGGGAATCAGACAAGCGGGTCTCTATCCCACGCTGGTTGCTGCTGGGCTTCAAACCACCCACCTCCCCTCCAGCCACCCACTGCTTAACGAGGGCATCAGCAGGACTCCTTGGTGGGATGCATAAGGATACCGAAAAACAGCTCCTAGAGTCCATTCCAGTTCAGATCACGCTGCCAGCCGGCCTGCCCCCGCCATGTGTGTCAGAGAAGAACAGCAGCCTGAGGGTTTCTGTGGCTGATGATTTGGAAACAGATCACCAGAGCATCCTTCCAGAGAGACTTGGGTGGGCTTGAGCTCGTGAATCTTTCAGGGAGCAGCTGTGACTTTCAACAGTTTGCCCCACTGGGGGTCCCAGAAAGCTACCAGGTGCCCACTCCTTCTCCGGGCTGGCCTTGTTAAGTCTTGGTCCTTCTAGTGCATGGACAGGGGTCCCAAAGACAGAGACTTGAGTTTGCCAGCTTCAACGACAGTTGTTTTAGCCTTGTCCTACTTTCCTACTCACCTGGTGGGGAGCAGATTCCCAGGGGAATGAGATGGTGAGTGTAGGTGCAA